TTTACCTGTGGAAGCAGAATATATATTAACATCAACCAACCACCTATATTTGTCATGCAACAACTACAGGTGGCACTTGGAAAGCATTGGCAAACTGTACGAAAATAATTGATAGCATATCAGGTAATAGGTGCTGTGGAATTCCTGACACAAAAGCACACAGTATTCAAAAAGACATTCATATGCAATACCCCAAAATTTGGGCCAACTTAGATTGTCCAATCTATATTTAGTTGGTCAAGATACTTGGAATGAAACCAGCCTTCAAGAGGGACAAGATGGTTTGGACAGAGTTTTCACAGTTTTACCCCCCAACAATGGAGCAGAAATATGTCAAGGTAACATCTTGTTATCAATCTGGATCCAAAAAGGTAAAGGTTAGCTATAACATTCAGATATCATACTCTATAACATGCCCCTGTAAACAAATTGTTGTGATAGTTCGCAAAAAGTTATCAACGCCATAATGGTTGAGACGGGTGAAATTTATAAACAATAAGAGGGTAATTGCTTGGAAGGACCAAAGTTATGAGAGGATATGGACAGAAGTCTTCTTTCAAAAAAATCTCAAAATAAAACTTCTTCAACAACTTTTAACACAAAATAGCCCTAGAATATTTTTTCATCTTTCATTTTCAACTTTGTGTTCTATCTTTTCACGTCAACTGAGATGATTTTAGAGGGTAGTGAAACAAGGAAATGGTTTTATTAGAGTTTTGATGTGTACTTGAAGATATAGCAAAATGACACGAGAAAGAGAACGAAAGGAAGAAGAATAAAATATATAGTTGCACACCACGATTCTTGTCAACTCGACCTGGTTGAGTAGGCATTTTCTAAAAGGGTGGTATACTTGTAATTGTACACTTCATTAAGAAAAAGGCCCTTTGGCAAAAATTTCAAAGTAATGCCAGAAGAAGTGTTGTTTTTAAAAAAGATTTGCTAACATAATAGCAGCCACAGGTAGTAAAATACAATTTTCTGTAAGATAAGGCTAATAGAACACGTGTTTTGACACGACGACGACAAACGAAATGTGCTAAACAAGAAGACTTAGTAGTAGCATCCTGTTGTTCTCACAACATAAAAACCGAGGTTAAAATACTACCTTTGCAAGAAATTGTAAAATAGTACAGTGTTATGAACAACATAATAGTTGAGATGGCTGCAAAAGCATAAATGGAAGATGGCACAATTCAATTGACTACAACATAGCTAATGGAGTACATGATTCGACACAAGACTACAGATAATCATGCAAAATAAGAATTCATAGTAATAGCATTTCCACAAGTAGGCACAGTTCTCACAACACACAAACCAAGACATACAGATAAATAAACTGAATTAAATCTTACCATCACTCCTGCAGCAGCATCTACAATTAACACTGCACCATCAGCAAGCCTAAGAGCAGCAGTCATTTCATCTGAAAAGTTAACATGACCAGGAGTATCCATGATGTTGCAAAGGTAAGATTTTGAACAACTATCCTCAAGAACGAGCGACATAGGAACTGCCTTAATAGATATCTTCCTCTCCTGCTCATCTATCCTTGTATCTGTGTACCGCATATGCTTCTCACTATCCTGATCAAAGGTCGAAATATGATGTGTCTGCTCCACCAACATGTCCATAAACAGTGTCTTTCCATGATGTAAGTGTCCCACCAAAGCAACATTTCGAACCAGTGTTGGATTTGACATAAGACCCAAAAGGAACTGTGTTGACACATAGGTTGATGAGTCCTTAACCCCCAACTCAAACTTGAGATTCTTGACAGGTTTAATTATGGGTAGTTCCAATGGCTGCTCATCTTCATCCATCACTAACGTCTCAACTTCCTCACCATAAACCTCTTCGGCAGTTGGGTAGTACTTCTTGTCCTCAGCGAGGACGATTTGATTGTCCATATCAACATCGTCAGTACTTGTTAGCCAACCATTCGGTTTCCCAGGAGTATGCTCATCATCAGACATGGGCCTCATATCATCAGCTCTTTCCTCAAGTTCCTCATCTTCCTCCTCCCTATCACTCTCCCGATCAGACTCGATTTCCGGTCCAATGTAGTTACCAAACTCATCGTATAAACTCTCATCCATGGATCTGCAAAATCTGCCATCAAGTGATGTTTATTCTCAACTATATATGAATAGGTTACAAAATCTATAATTTAGTGATATATCAAATACAGCCCAAGCAACAGTGTCAATTAATTTTAGCAAAAATGAGCCAATCACTTGCCTTGCAACATAAAATTATTGCTTTCAGAAACCTATACAGCCCAATCTTAAGCTTGAGATTTGTTCAGACAAGAAAGGAAAATCAGAATGGCTAAGAGACTCACTGAAGTAACAATATGGATTCATTCTAATAACCCCCGTATGTAAATTTCTTGTTCAAATAACAAAAAATTCTCAAAAAAATGTCAAAAAGCATTCAAAAATCTGTACCAATATATACATATATTACACACATAAATCGTATAAAGCC